CTAAAGTCAAGGCACAAGCTAGTCTTAAGGAATTATTTTGGGAGGACTTGGAGAGGTTGATTCAATACATACTGCAAAGTAAAAATATTTTTATTGGAGGAGGCTTGAATGTTCATGTTGAGAGGGAGGTAGGTTATTATGTGAGAGTGCACAATGGTTTTGGTTTTAGAGAGATAAACAATGAATGGCAATCTTTTCTAAATTTCTCTTTGGCGTATCATTTTAAGATTGCAAAACACTTGTTTCAAGAAGAGGGATGAACATTTCATTACTTATAAAAGTGAAGCCTAAAGGTCACATATTGATTTCCTTTTAGTAAGGAACACAAATAGAGGACTTTATAAAAATTGTAAGGTAATTCCTAAAGATGATGTAACAATACAACATAGGGTCCTTGTCCTTGATATGTGTATTATGAGTAAAAATGAAAAGTGTTCACAAGTGGTATTGCTAAAGATTAGGTAATGGTGATTAAAAGGTGAGAAGCAAGCAATTTTCAAGCAGTGTCTTTTGGCTAAAGGAATTTGAGTCTCAAAAAAGTGTTAGTATTTTGATAGGGAGATATGGTTAAGAAGGTAAGAAAGGTTACAAAAAAAGTTTTAGGAGAATCAAAGGTTTTGCTCTGTAAGATAAGAAGTCTTGGTTGTGAAATGATAATGTATAAAAAAAAAAACCAAACATAATAAGTGTTTTAAAGCCATCTATTTGTACAATAATGATAACAATTGAGAAAGACACCATGGCTAAGAAGGAGGCTAAGAAAGCTTTGAGTAAAGCTTGCTTTAAAGCTTTTGAAGAGTTTTATAATGGCCTTGGGATAAAGGAAGGAGAATAAAAAATTTATGAGATTGCGAAGAGTAGAAAAAAAAATTAAGAGATTTGGAATATATAAGGTGCATAAAGAATGAAGAGGAAAGAGTTTTAGTTATAGATGGTGATAAAAACACATGGGAGACCTACTTTTTCAAAATTTTCAATGATAGAGAGGGTTCATCTAGTAACTTGAAGGATTTAATAACTTATGAAGGAGAACAAAATTTATCATTCTATCAAAGGATACATAAGAGCTCGCAAAGAAAGCTCTTGAGAAAATAGTAAATGGTAAAATCAATAGATCTAATTGTATCTTTATTGAAGTATGGTTTAGGTGAAGAAAGGATGTGATGGTTAACTAAGTTATTTAATGAGATCTTACAGTCCAAGAAAATGCTTGATGTTTAGAGGAGAATGATCTTAGTTCTTATTTATTAAAATAAAGGGAATATTTAAAATTGTGCTACCTACATATGGATAAAACTTCTGAGTCAGTTAGGAGATTAGGTTGAGATTGAAGATTGATATTTTTGAGAATCAGTTTAGCTTCATGCCAAGTAGGGCAATTACATAAGCCATTTATCTATTAAGAGGATTAATAGAAAGATATCGCTATAAAGGTAAAGATTTACATGTGATTTTTATTGATTTGAAAAAAAAAGCTTATGACTTTATAGCTATAGAAGTACTTTAGAAAGTCTTAGAAAAGAAAGGAATATGAGTTGCCTATATTAGAGCTATAAAAATATGTATAAGGAGTAACAACTAGTATAAAAATGTCCAGGGATGAAACAAAGGACTTTCTTAAAATGATTATACTATATCAGGGATCATCTTTGAGCCCTTACTTTTTTAATATGGTCCAAGATATTTTGACTGAGCATATTCAAGAGCAAATTTCCAAATGCATGCTTTTTACGGATGATATAATTCTTATAGTAGAGACAAGAAAAGAAATCAACTATAAATTTGAGTTATGGAAGAGGACATTGGAGTTAAAAGTTTTCATTTAAGTTGGAGTAAGACAGAATATTTACGTTATAATTTTGATAAGAAGTCAGTCAGTAGCAATCTAAAAGTGAAATTGGAAGATTAGATTATACTTTAAGTAGAAAAGTCCAGATATTTAAGAACTATTATTCAAAATGATAGGGAAATTGATGGGAATATTGCACATATAATACAATTTGGGTGGTTTAATTAGAGAAAGCTAAAGGAGTTATTTGTGATCGTAAGGTACCTAATAAATTTAATGAGAAGTTTTATCGTATAACTATGTAACCAGTTATGTTATATGGCAGTGAATGTTAGGCTCTAATGGAACAACAAGAGCATAAAGTTAGAGTAACAAGGATGAGAATGTTGAGATGGATGTTCGAACATACTTATAAAGATAAAATCTAAAATGAGCACGTATAAAAAAAACTGGGCATGGCATCTATTGAGAGAAAAATGATAGAAAAACATTTGAGATAGTTTGGATATGTATAAAGAAAAACATGTGATGCACTAATAAAGAGAGTGTAATAAATAACTTTGAGCCCTGTTAACAGGGGTAAAAGAAGGCCAAAGAATGTTTTTGGAAATAGTTGACCAAGACCTATGAGTTAATAACATTTTTAAAAATTTGGTAAATGATAGAGCACAATAATATTGTACAATCTATATAATTGATCCTACCTACTAGTATAAAGGTTTTTTGTTGTCTGGAATTGATTTGGTTTCCTATTTTCAACTTGCGATTTTGTTACTTTGGAAAAAAAGTTGTAAATGCTAAAATTGTGATATTTGATTATAATAGAGGTTTGAAAGTGATGTTTGGATTTGTAGGTTGAATATAAATATATCCTTAAGTGGTTACCAGCTTTATTCTTGGAGTTTGAGTTGAGTTGTGGCTGTATAATCCCTTCTAACATTAGAGGTAGATGTTAGATATGGCAACATGCTTAAAAGGAGGTAAATTGAATGTTAATCAAATTTTTTTTCTTTTATAATTTTTTTAGCAAAATAGAGTGTAAAGAAAAGTTTAAGCAAATTTGAGTTTTAACTTTGTTTGCAAGAATGCTATTTTTTAGCAAAATAGAGTGTAAGGAAGAGTTTAAGTAAAATTGAGTTCAGAACTTTGTTTGCAACAATGCTAAAATAGATTGGAATAATTACATCTAGATCTCACATAAGAAATTAATTACTATAAGGTTAATTGATAATTGAACTAAGGATGACCTTAGTTCAATTGTCCATAGACTTTGTAATAATTAATTTTTTTGTGTGAGAATTCAATGTAATTCTTTTAAATAATTTTCGCTAGCTCAATAATTATAAGAATGATTAAAAAAATTTAAAAATAATTTATAGGCAAAAGTTAAAATAGCTAGAAATACAAAGGGATGTCAAAAGCATCCTGTGAACTGATTATGCAGGGCTAGGTTTTTTTTTTAAATTTCTGGCACCCCTTTTCAAAAAGGGCAAAAAAAAAAAATAAGCCCTAGTATCGTGATCTTCTGCTTCTTCATGTCATGTTGTTGTGACTCCTGACTCATGGCTCTTGTTTCTCTCCTTCTATCGATCATAGCCGTATGTCATGAATTGGCCAAATAGCACTTGTGAGGCCCAAGATGAACACGTGGCTTAGGAGGTGGTGCTTCTGTATGATGTTGTTACTAGTAACTAAATGGGAAAGACGCTTGAACAATGTGAAGCTAGGGATATATATTAGGTGAGATTGTTTGTAAAAGTGTGTAGAATTTGTGTTTGTGCTTCTCCTTTCTGTTGATTCTTCCTCCCTAAGCCTCCCTTTTCTCTTTGTATCTTCTTATCTTTCTGCATTTCCTTTTCGAGACTTCATTATTTTCTATTGTACACGACTTATGATTGTCATTTTTAAGTTGAATAATACATTGAGTTTGGCTTTTATCATTATTTTTTTTGTTGCCTTTTTTGAGTACGTGACAAAGGTGCTTTCGTTGAGAGAGTCAATCCTGCTTCAATGGCTGAAGATGATCGAACTTGAGGAGCTACATCAGGCAATTAAACATGTGGCTAAAGAGACCAAAAGCTTGATGGCTTCCTTGGAGGCTTCCTAGAAGCAACGTGAATAGTGCTTTGACCAAATTGAGGCTATGATTAATGCGATTAAACACAGCTCAAGGTTTGATGATGAGCACTTAATATCATTGACCATCAAAGATATTAAGTTTTCACAAAGTCATCCTGCTTTGGCATCAGTCGTTAATGAAGAGATGACAAATCATTTAGGAATATCAGTTGAGCCTCCGTCTGCCAGTAATATTCCATCCATTGAAATGATCTCTTCTCTACATTATTCTCTTTATTTTGACCTTATTTTACTGCTATTTGATCTTGAATTGAGTGAAGAGATAGAAGACACTGTCTTTGTAAACTTTGTCCCACCGTTGGCAAAATTTAAATCAAATGAAGAGATAGAATATATATGTTTTCCTTCTGCTATTAGAGTGTCCTCTACCATTGAAGGGATTGTTATAGAAGATGATAAGGGTAACGCAACCATTAACATAGGAAATGGAGAGGGTGATACATTAATGATCAATGAGTCATAAAGTTTGGCTAGTTTGCTGGAGAATGGACCTCTAATGCTTGGACTCGGCTTCTCTCCTTTGAGAGAAGCCTCCTCTGCCTCTCCTTTAAGGCAGAGGAAAATCTAGACCATTCAGATTTAATCTAGACGGTCTAGATTTAATAGTTCTATTTTTATTTTTTATTTATATTTTTAAATTAAAAAATATGTAAAATTATAAATTTTTTAATAAATATATTTATCAATCTGATAGTTCAGATTTAATATAAATGGTCTAAAATTAATATTAAATTTTTTAATAAATCTACTATTTTATTCATAATATATTTACACTGTTTAGAATATATCTGAAAAATAAATTTAAATTTTTTATATTAAATTTGAAGCTTCTATATTAATTATGGACTGTCAAATCGATTAGTATATTTATTAAAATTTTTTTATATTTTTTAATTTAAAAATATAAATAAAAAATAAAAATAAAACTATTAAATTTAAATTGTTCATATTAAATTTAGATGGTTAAAATCTTTTTCTACCTTAAAGGAAAGGCAGAGGAGGCTTCTCTCCTCTTGGGTTTGTTTTTTAAAAACTACCCGTCTATTTGTGGATTGGGCCGCAGTATCTGGAGCCCAAGTTAGGGGTGCTCAACCCTCATTCAACGTCTCCATTTTCAATCAGGGACAAAAGAGAGCCGACGGCCACGAGTCTTGAGAGTGCGATGGAGATGCATTACTTGATCCTTGCGACGTTGCTCTTACAGTAACAGGTTGGCTCAACGAATGCATTCAATATTTGTCATCACTAGCCACACGATTGAAGACTTGGCCTCCAAAGCTATCTCATGCTTCCAGTATCTCGATCCTCTTTGGCCGTCCAAGTTTGGTACACTGTAAGGGGATTATTAATGGCTTAATATTTGATCCGGTTATTCTCGTCTCTTTTCTTCTTGTGAATTACAACCTACATTCATTTCAATTTTGGTCCACAGGCTCTAGAGAATTCACATGGTGTAGAATCAATTTAAGTGAAATTCTTATCCGGTTGCGCGGGTCTTGCTCTTGTCTAATTACCTGTCAAATATTTTATCCTAGTCCCACTAATAACCTTCACTGCTGCAATTTTACTGGGATTCTTGGAGCAGATCATTTTTATTGGAATTCATTAATTTTCAAGGATGGGAATAATTGTGGAAATGATAAAGAAATGCATATGTTTAAGGCACGGCAGCAAATTCCATTCAATGGCTATGTTATCACCGGGTTGCTTTTACGTATGGTTGATTCTTGCGTGTTCACCAGTGTCCATGGAATGTCCTGTTTAAGTTTGCCAAGTGGGATTGCATATAAAGTTAGTTCACCAGTGGCAATCTCTGGTTATGCAATTTATACCCTCACCTTCATGATATATCCCCGAGCCTGTTATGCATATCTCTTGAATGCTTTCTATAAGAGGATAGAGAGTATTGGTCCTCCTTTTAGAGTTGTTCTTGTTAGGGATTATTGGAGTGAAGAACTTTGTGATTTGACCTCCATGTTGAATTTTCACCTTTATCACGAACATACTGGTTTTGGATTTTTCTACTGGATTTTGATGAGCAAAATGATGTTTGTATTGCTACTTAAACTCAAGTTCAGATACAGTGTGGTTTCTGGAATCACTTTATGTTGGCTGGAAGTAGGTTCAACGTTATCTCTATTTTCTATAATAATTTTCGATCCTGGAATTACTGAGGGAGTACAACATCCGCATTTAATAATCTTAGTTGTTCCATCAGCCCATTTTTACATGTTACTAGTCATATGGGCTTTGACTAAGCTTAGCAATATGATACCTTGGATGTTTCATGCGCCATCCAATTTCTACATGTTAACGGAGTTAAGAGCTGTAAGCATTCCTCATGATGTATCATCAAACAAAATTTGCCATCTTCATACCCCATACACTTGTGTTGGTCATTATGATTGGATCATCGTGAACACAAACTCCCTGGGCACCACTAAATACTCACAAGTGTTTGATATGTGTCTCACATTCAACCTAGTTGATTGGAGTTCCAGGCTTATTTGCCTTCTAGAAGCCCCTTCTACTCTCCCTTATTTGTGCTTCAGCTTCAAACTAGAGTGGAACACACTTAAAGATGAAAATACTAATTCAAACCTCCTCCTCCAAGTTTTCAAGTTGATGATAATTTTGCTTATTGGACTTGGCAAGGATGCAGAGTACATATACATTCAATTCCAAAACTTTTGGGTTTATTATATTTTAATTTCTTGGAATGGTTTGGGTCCTCATACAAGGTACACCTTGACTGCTTTAAAAGCTTCTTCTCTACCCTTTGACCTTGAGGGCAAGGTCAATCTCTATGGGGAGGGTAATGTCATGAATTGGCCAAATAGCACTTGTGGGGCCCAAGATGAACACGTGGCTTGGGAGGTGGTGCTTCTGTATGATGTTGTTACTAGTAACTAAATGGGAAAGATGCTTGAACAACGTGAAGCCAGGATATATATTAGGCGAGATTGTTTGTAAGAGTGTGTAGAATTTGTGTTTGTGCTTCTCCTTTCTGTTGCTTCTTCCTCCCTGAGCCTCCCTTTTCTCTCTATATCTTCTCTTCTTTCTGCATTTCCTTTTCCAAGACTTCATTGTTTTCCATTGTACACGACTTGTGATTGTCATTTTTGAGTTGAATAATACATTGAGTTTGGCTTTTATCATTATTTTTTTGGTTGCCTTTCCTGAGTATGTGACACCATAGTGTTCTCACTTGTGCTGTGCAGTCCTAATCTTGTAGCATTCTTGTCTGCCATCTGCTTCACGTCTGGCAGCTTCGACCTTCTTGGCGTTCCGTCGGTCTCGACGTTCCCGACAGTGGGATTGCCGTTGTTGGTTTTTGGGTCTGTGAGTCTCAGTGTTCTTGTCATCGTGGATTAGGCAGCTTCTTTCTCTCCCTTCCTGCTCGATTCTGGTTTATACTTGACTAATCTGTTTATTCACAATTACTTGCTTACTTTCATCAATGATCACTCTGTATTCTAGTGATGTGGGGCTTAAGTGGCTTACCAATAACTGTGCTCTGTTCTGCTTCGTAGATAAATAAAGAACGAGAAGAAAAACTCTGAAATTAATGGCTTTATGTTTATTATAGTTTAAGTGCACCCACTTCATTTGTTTGAAATGAGTTAAAACTAGTTCAAAGTTAGGTCATTATACAACTGTGAGCATTTTTATTTTTGTCATGAACATCTGCTCTATTTGATCGTTGAATGTTCTGCTTTGATGTTCTTCATAAGTTGAATAATTGGTTTTCAACAGAATTCAATGTGTTTGGTGCTTTCTATTTGTGTATGTTGGATCACACAATGAATAATCTAACTTAAAGATTGGAATCCCCGAAATTTGCCCCCCTCTCTCAACTGATATCATCATCTCTCATTTTGTTCTTGGTTCATCTTCATATCATTTCCTCAGTGGCGTTCATTTGCATGGCTGTTCAAAGGATGTTGTTGGTGAAAAAAGAATATTAAGAAATATAAGCCTCAGTAGCGTTGTTGAATATGGATGAATGTATTGAGTAGTATTGTGTTTTTATTTAGATTATATTATTTTATTATGACCAGTTTAAGTTTGGGTTAAACCCTTGACCCCTGACTGGACCGGCCAGTTTTCAGTACCTATCTATTTATAGATAAGTCTGTTGTGTGGGATCTGTAATTTTTCCTTCTTTCCAATTTCTCATTCCTCTGCCTTACCTATTGAATCACATCAGTGCCTCCTTCCTAACTGAGAGTAGAGCACAGTGCCTCCTTCCGTTGTCCATTACTAGTCTGAAGCTTTGAAACTGATAGTGGAGTACGTTGCTGTTCGTTTTTGCCATTCAGATTACTTGCTGTTTGCACTTGCTGTTCAGATCAAGGTTCAGGTTGCTGTCTACGTCTTGCGTTCTCAAGGTTCAATTTACTCTTCCTTATACTTGGTTTGATTTTTGTTCTGAGATCTGAAAAAATTGGATCCAAAATTCAATTTGTGCTCTGATTTTTCTTGTTAATGATTGAATCCCCATGCCCCAGTTTTGTGAATGTCTTCTGCTTGGATCATTCAAGCTCAGGTGTCCAAATTTTGACTTCTTTTCTTTGATTGAAGCTCTCAATGTCTTCTGGTTCGATTTTAGTTTGACTTCAAATTTTATTGGATGAAAAATTGAAATATTCAGCACTGCATTGTCTGCTGCTGCTGTAGCCATGGATCCATCCTTGTGTAAATCCTTTTGAATAATATAGCTTCACCATGACATGTGATTAAATGTCATTTAAATCCCTCTTTATTATCATAACAAGCAAAATGGAATGCTAACTCAAACTAATGTAAGTAACAAGAGCTTTCGTTACATGACTACAGGTTTAGTGCCTGATTTTTAATCCTTGTGCAAAGTGAAGCTGTGGCTCTTTTTTCTTTGTTTTCGGATACTAAGTTCTCTGATCACTTTAAGTACCAAGTTATAATGAACAGAAACAATACAATTGAATCTGGCTTCTTCCTTGAGGACCTCTACCTCAACAACAAATTTATGGCATGCTGTTGATTGTTCTTTTGATATTCGTATTGTGTTGCTGCTTTCATTGGTTATGTTGTTTTGCTGCTTTGTATTGTTTTACAGACCATTATTAGTGTGACCATCGTCTTGACTTTGGAGGCTGGATTTTAAATGTAACTTTTTAAAATAATTTTTATTTGGATTTATTATAGGTTTTAATTTCATTTTTAAAGCCTACTATATTTATGCATTGAGTAGGCTTCAAAGTCTTCCAGACCAAAGTTAAGATGCCTTTTTAAAGGTCTACATATAAAGTTGGGGCAATGTTGTGCTCTTTTTGTAATTCTTTGTGGGCATTATTGCGTAACTTGATTGTTTAATACACCTAGTTCTCCTGAGAGAATAATTTGAGGCCATAAATGCCCTTTAACCCTAAAATTTATGTTGATGTTTTTTGCTCTTCCATAATTTGTATGCTGGTGTATTTGTAAAACACCATAGGCATTAGTTTTAGTAACAAAATTTTATATTTGAGCCCACGTGAATGCAAAAAGAAAAAAATGGTAAGGTTGCTTGAAATAATTTTGAAGGAATGGAAATGATTTGATACTTTAAAGTTTTTTATGGAAAAAAAAACCTCAAAACTATGAAAAAGACATTATCATCCTTCTAGAAAATAAATAATAAAAAATAGTGTTGTCAAAAAATTCAAAAAAAAAAAAAAGTTTCCTGAATCAATTGGCTTAGTAAGGCATCTTCATTAGAGTATCTGGAACAAATTAGAATTGTATGATATTGACTACATATTTCAAAGATATGGGAACAGCAATGAAGGATTGAAAAATCCAGTCTGGGTTGTGATGTTGAAATGATTCAAAACAACAACATATCTGATCTGATAAGTTTTATTTGAAATTCCTTTGGTGAAGAAAAGTTTTATCTAACCATCACATATGCTAAGTCTGACAATATAAATGTAAAATTTCCTTGGTTTTTACTGTTGTGATACACATTTCAATACAGATATGGTGATCCCGCCTCCACCAAGGCCTCCAAGGATAATAGATTTTCTCAAACCGTATGTACTGAAAATGCATTTTACAAATAAGTACGTGAGTGCTCAGGTGATCCACATACCAACTGCTACTGTAGCTTGTTCTGCAAGCTCTCAGGAGAAAGCCTTAAGGTCAAGTTTGGAAACAACCCGTGATGTGGCTGCAGCTGCGAAGATTGGGAAGATACTTGGTGAACGCCTTTTGCTCAAGAATATCCCTGCTATTAGCATTCACTTGAAGAGAGAACAGAAGTATCATGGTAAGGTTCGAGCTGTTGTTGATTCTGTCAGAGATGTTGGTGTTAAATTGCTCTGAGTTATTCTCGTAAATATTTGGTTGAAGCTTGGAGAGAGTATCTTTCTGGACCTTGTATTGGGAAGTTTCTATATCATTTTAGCATAAATTCAGAACAATAATTAATCCAGGATGCCCACTTTTGTTCCATTTAGTTTTCTAACATTATTATAACCAGAAAGTTGAACGTGCTAAATTCAATTTCTATGATAACATTGTCAAGTATTGGTAATTAGAAGTTGCTGACCCTTGATGGTTGCATGCTTGTTCCACTATATTTGATATTTAATGGAAGTTTACTTTTACATTGATTTCAATTATAATTTTTTAATTTATTAGTAAATTTAATATAACAGAATGATTACTTCTATATTAACATATATAATAAATAAGGGTTGCAGGTATGAAGGATGAATCATCTTTCATCATATTTATACAAGCAAATTTCTTTATTTTATAAAAGAAATAAACTTTAATAAATGTTACAAGTGAGATTTTAAAATTGTTACAAGTGACCCCCTAAATGAATAATAGATGGTGTTATTACAAATTCTTAGCTTTTGTTCTTAAATTTAATTTTTTTTATTTGATTATTCTCAATTCATCTAGTATTGATTATAAAATAGATGGGAGACTTACTTTTTTAAACTTTTCAATGATGGAGAGGATTCATCTAGTAACTTGGAGAATTTAGTAACTGGTGAAGGAGAACAAAATTTGTTATTCTATCGAATAATACGTGATAAGGAGGTAAAGGAAGCTTTTAAGAAAATGGCAAATGGTAGAGCCAACGGACCTGATTGTATATCTATCGAAACGTGGAAATGTTTAGGTGAAAAAGGGGTGAGATGGTTAACTAAGTTATTTAATGTGATTTTACGGTCCAAGAAAATGCCTGATGAGTGGAGGAGAAGTATATTAATTCCTATTTATAAAAATAAAAGAGATATTCAGAATTGTACTAACTATAGAGGGATTAAACTCATGAGCCACACAATGAAATTGTGGGAGAAAATAATTGAGCACAGGTTGAGATTGGAGACAAGTATTTCTGAGAATCAATTTGGTTTTATGCCAGGTAGATTAACTACAGAGGCAATTTATCTACTAAGGGGATTAATGGAAAAGTATCGTTGTGAAGATAAAGATCTACACATGGTTTTTATTGATTTGGAAAAAGTTTATGACTGTATATCAAGAGAAGTGCTTTGGAAAGCGTTGGAAAAAAAGAGAGTACGGATTGCTTATATTAAAGCCATACAAGATATGTATGAGGGGGTAAAAACTAGTATAAGAACACCTAGTGGTCAAACAAAGGATTTTCCTATAAAGATTGGACTACATCAGGGATCATCTCTGAGTCTTTATTTGTTCAACTTGATTTTAAATGTTTTAACGGAACATATTCAAGAGGAAATCTTGAAATGTATGCTCTTCGCGGATGATATAGTTCTTATAGCAGAGACAAGAGAAGAGGTTAATTGTAAACTTGAGTTATGGAGGAGGACATTGGAGTCGAAAGGTTTTCGTCTGAGTAGAATTAAGACGGAATATTTATATTGTAAATTTGGTAAAGGAATATTCAACAATAATTTGGAAGTGAAATTGGGAGATCAAATTATACCTCAAGTGAAAAAGTTTAGATATTTGGGAGCCATTATTCAAAATGATGGCGAAATCAGTGGAGATATTTCACATAGAATTCAAGCTGGGTGGTTTAATTGGAGAAAAGCTAAAGGAGTTATTTGTGACCGTAAGGTGCCTAATAAACTTAAAGGAAAGTTTTATCGCATTGCTATCAGACCGGTAATGTTATATAGTAGTGAATGCTGGACTCTAACGGGACAGCAAGAGCATAAAGTTGGAGTAGCAGAGATGAGAATGTTACGAT